AATCAGTGCCATACAAAGAGTTTTGCGTTTTTTTCTCGGGAAAGTTATTTTATAAAAGCAATAGAAAACTTTTTTCCTGTGTTTGCATAGCCTGATATAAACACTCGAGGCGTTGGGAGAATTCGAGACGGTTATGCAAACCCTAGACTTCGTCTCGTGTTTGCATAACTGTCTCGAATTCTTCCAACCCCTCTCGTGTTTATATCAGGCTATGAAAATACGGAAAACGTTTTCTATTGCTTAAATCAATCTCATGCGTTTTCTAGGGAGGTCTTGTTGAAACATCATGCGACCTTAAGTAACAAAAGCTAATAATTAACAGAATATTGGAAGGAGTATGCATGGTAATAATGATGGCTCAGATTAGTAATGATGATGATGATGATGAAAATGATGATGATTGTGACTCATCGACAACTTCGTCGTCGGAATTTGCATTATGATATAAGGGATATTACGACGTAGAAAGATCTTAGGCATATAGATGTGAGTCGTTTCATGAACCGAAGCGTGCATGAACGTATAGGGTAGTAGCGGGCGCGAAGGTTTGATTATCATAATCGGGTTTAAGCTCAAATTTAGACAGAAGCATGAAACCCTTATACAGGTCATACTGAGAGGAGCAAAGAAATACTACTCGTTACGTCTGTCGCGACTACCATCATATTGCAAAGTAAATTCGCTCGTCAAGTTTAGCGCCTCGTAGCACTTGTCCAGCCGGCAATCATGTTACTCAGTTGAGTACTTATTGTCTCTACCTTTATGGCTGTATACCTTTTCCGAACCCCGGCAACACCTTTTTATGCATCAGTTTGACAAGCTATTGCTTTGATTTCCCCAGAGTTTTGACCAGGGTTACAGCTGATAAAATTAATAGAATAGTATGGCGTAAGGCTATTCGTTTAAAATTACACGTCAAATATTTCGGCGATAAAGTTAAAAAAAACATTTATCTCTGGACGGTGGAAAAAAAGCCTTTTAAACGATTTGCAAACATTTATTAGACAAATATTAGATCAGACAGCTAAAATTTCTCACGGCTAGTATAGGTTACTAAAATCGACAGAGTATTAAATTGTCTTTAAATCTTGAATCCTTCTAATAAACTCCTTTAAACTTTCGCCTTTCGGTACTCTCATTAGTGACCATTTTTAAATCCTTTATTTAACAAATTCACCATTAAGAGCCGAACTTTTTGTTAATTGAATTGGACCAGGGTATGCGATAAAATACGACGTTTTAGAGCTGTCAAAAAAATGTTGTTTTAAAATTACACTGACAGAAAAACGTTTTTGTTGTTACTTAGCTAAAAATATACGATGGTTGGAGAATCCGGGCATCGATCCCGGTACCTCCCGCATGCTAAGCTGGCGCTCTACCATTTGAGCTAATCCCCCTGCTTGTAAAACTCCAAGGTAATTTTAATGAGTAACAAAAACTAAAATACTGAGACACACTGATCGTGATATTAGGCCATGATAATCATGGCGTAAATTTTTAAGATTTATATTACGATACGCTACGTACGGCCGAGATTGTTAGTATCATTCTATTACTGAGTAACAACGTATACGTAATGAAGTCATCTGAATTTTGAGTTTTTGTTGTAGTCAAATTAACAGGGTTCTAGAATTCTGCATCAAAAAAATTATTTGCTCGCCCATGAGAAATCAAGATATCTTGCTCAACCTCGTCCAATAATTGTTAACTATTCTATCCTCTCTTGCTATTGTCCATTCAAATTGTTTTTCCGTCTCTTATTGGCTAAAATCTTCCGCAACTAATATTCATAAGCAGCTATGATTTTTTGACCGAACTTGGAAGATGCTTGCGGGATATCAATTCTGATGACCTCAGCTGTACTGAAATCGACAGTAAAAGGGACATCAATGGGCGTTGCAGCTTATTAGCTGGATAAAATGGTAGAAGATTTCGTACGTTGTGTAAAGAAGAAATAGTTGAGCATCGTCAACTAGATAATGGCAAAAATGCCACTCAGCGGGTTTCGGCGGATGCTGATATTGATATGCTGATATGTACTGGGGATTTATCTCATAGTGCGCCCGTTTATCTTGTGTGTGGGTACTAAGACCGATATCGAGATTCCCCATAAAATTATTGACATTTCTTTTTCTTTTTTACTCTTTTAAAATTATAAACATAATAAGTCATGGGCGTTATAACTGTATTTTTTTGTGTATCACGGATCGGTGCTACTGAGGTTCAGTAATCAGTTTACTGCATCAGTTAAGCAACACGAAATTATTGAATCACTTTAAATTTATGCTGTTAATGCGAAGTCTCACTATGGTTACTGAGAGATTGAAAACAAAAAAGAAAACAAACAAACAACAACAAACAAATAAATAAGACAAAACTAAAAAATGAAAACAAACTACCGTCAGAGAGTTCTCCGCCAAATCTTCTTCTTTAAGGTCTGTTAAAATAAGAGATAAGTTTTGTCTTTTACTTCACATGTTTGTCAAAAAGGGCCTGTCCGGGAGTCGAACCCGGGACCTCTCGCACCCGAAGCGAGAATCATACCACTAGACCAACAGGCCCCAACAAGAACATAAATGGAATAATGGCTGCCCGTTTCTTTGTGTGGATCGACAGGTTGTTATAATAAATTGATAAATGCAAAATAACCTGTGGTAAAGCAAATGAAGAGCTGCTGAGGTCTTTATTTTCTCGTCATGGGATGCTCGGGCCAGAAGGAGCAAACCGTTTGCGGGCATAAAGGTGGCGTACATTAACATTTACGGATGAGTTAAGCGCGTAGAGCACCATGCGTAACCAAGGTGTTTGATAATCGTCTCAAGGTTTGATGTAGGTTCAGTTAATTTGGTTTTTGTCCTTGGACCAGTTCGTGTTTGTGTGCAAATCTCATGATTCAACAGAAAAAAAAAAAAAAAAAAAAAAAAAAAATGTTACCTTACCTTGGTTGACCATCTAAAGCAGAAGCTAGCCATCATGATTTCTTTGAAATTAAATCACGAATAAGAATAGAAATAATATAAAACCAGGATAAATCGGAACTTAGTCCGCCTAATATTTTTAAATAAATGACTGAGACTAATAACAACTTTGCCATCTTCTGAAAATACTAGATTGGATTAAAAAAATGTACGAGGCAAAGAAGAAGAAGTAAGCAAAGTCAGTGATGAGTTCAATAACAGTTGATGAAAATGACTTCGAGTTAATTACAAATTTCAAGAAAGAACGAGCTAAGAGAGCAAATCGCTAGCCCCTATGATAATTATTTGAAATCTATTTCGAGTTTGCGCGCGTGCTGCGCTGGTTATTTTTGTCTGCTGTTTTCGTGACCCGAGTGGTCTACTTTCACGTGAACGTGACATGTTACGCCGCCAGACATTTGAAGTTTGACAGGCGTCATAGCAATTTAGTCCAGTCAATCTGCAAGTAGGCAGTTTTGAGGTTCAACATCAAACTAATTGCAACAGAATTTATTTTCAACGCCACGGGTATGGATTCGGCAACTAACTGTCCGTGGAAAGACGATTCAAAAGTCTTTTGTCTTCCTCTATAACTTCAAAACCGCTTGTGATACTGCCACTAAAATTACACAGAATATTTATTACCCTCCATTTCCAACTTCTAAGCATAACTTGATTGACACGGTGATGTAATTTTAGGTCATTTTGACGTCCTAATGTTGATTTTATTTGAAGAATCCAAATTCCATCGATGTTTCCCCTCAAATCGAAAAATACTTAAGTAGTAAGGTGCTGAACAGAATAAACAACATGAGGAAATTGGAATACAGAAGTTGGCTAACACATTAATGACTTTTAGCAATAGCAATGATGATATAATGACGTCATTTATTACTAAAGAAGGATCTGGAACCGCCCACCATCTGGGATCCGCCATTTTATGTATAAATGTAATTCTATTCAATTTTGATTAAAACTCTAGGAAATTGAGGTGATCGTGATAGAAATATTGATCTCTGTTCAAAAGAATGCGTATGAAGCAAAAAATGTGCAAGTTGTGAAATTCCGACAAACTGAAACCAGCGGCTGACATTCGGGTCATTTTAAATAAACGTTTTTTTTTCTTAAATCAGTCGCCCCACTAAAAAGCCTGGATTACACTAACAGTTATAATGAATTTGATAAAATATTGCAAAATAAAGTGTATTGCTATAAATGAATAAGCAAAACTAGAAATCAACAACAACAACAACTAGATCATATTGAAGAGGCGTTTTTGAGGAAAGAACTTTACCGATTTTGACTTGAAAATATCTGTCGTTGAGATAGGATTCGATTGAAACCAGGCTACCACTGTCGTACCGAGGCCGTATAATTCTACCTTTTCTAGGAGTATTTGGTGATGAACAAGATCAAAGGCTTTCCGTAGATCTATCATAGACAAACCATGCACCGATGTTCCCACTATCGATGTTGCCTAGTAGGAAATCAGTTAGCTTGATCAATAATGACTGGCAGGAATGGAATTTCCGAAATCCAGATTGGTTCTCAGTTAAAGGAGATCATGCTCTGTTAAATAATTATATAATTCATTAAACGCTTGTCGCTCTAAATCTTTGCAGAGTAAGGGAAGCACGGAAATAGGCCGATGAAATTAGGCCTTTTGGTAGGAAAAAAGGCACATTGTGAAAGGCACGGCTGTCAAAACTTTCGGATGCCATGGTAACGTCAATAAGGACGTACACGTACACATGACGACGACTTTCAAATGTTCCCATATAACTTTAGTAAAAGTCGCCAAGTTTGGTGGTCATAGCTTAAACAGTACTGAAGTTGTCAACTTTTTAGCAAAGGGCAAGGTAGTGGCTCAGAAGACCCCTCCCAGATCTGAATAGGGTTAACCGTTAGCCGTGACTAAAACTATCAAAATTTGGTACGCATAGAATGTTGCATGATATCGCTGGTTAGTACTTTTATTCGTCAGCGATTACTTGCTTACAGGCTGAGGAATAATCCTGAAATTTCTTTTACAGTTTCGTTATATTAGCCGAACAGTGCACATTCGCAGCACAGAGTAATTTCCTGTAAGTAAGTTTCCAATTCATCCACACCTGTTCTCTGTAAGAACGTTTGAGTCACGGAAGAATTTTTGCACTCGCCTCTCACCGAACCTTGTCCACAGGACTGCTGTCCTCTACACACCATCACGTTAATAAACTCGGGTATCTTATCAGGTCCAAGTCTAGTAACAGCCGGACAAATGTCACAAAGGCCTTCTGTTTTAGACTCACAAGGACCTCTAGGGTCAGTAACAGGGAAGGAGGAGCCCGTCGGCTCGTCCATCGAGCCGCTGTCACTAGACTCATCCCTCCTTAATCTGCTTCTGTTTGAATGCAAAAGGACTTGAGATTCCCGAGTTATGTTGTAGATTTTCATCCTTCTCAACATCGAGTGGTAGGACACCAGGTTGGGAAATCTGTCCGCTTCTGCTTTGGTAAAGGCCATGTAGAAGGAATTGAAGTAGCCCAGTGGGCCTGGCTTCAATCCCAAAAGTTTGAGGCCTTTTGTTAACTCGTGGCCATTGCGTGGAACTTCCCACTTCCAAAGCAAGCCCCCAAAAAGAACGGGTAGGTTAGCTGCTAAGAACAGTACTCGAATAGCCATCTAACGGAAAGATAAGAAACATGTATATAATCAATCAGTAATACAGGTCATACTAGCATTCGATTCTGTAAAGATTTCATTGAACATGAGATGGAATCTTTCCACGGCCAGTTAGTCGCCGAATGCAACCTTAGTGAATCTAAACTAAGTGCATTAAAAGGGACAAAGGTAATTGGCCTGTTCCTGTTTATTTGAACCATGCCATGCTAGATCACTCCACACTATTATTTAGTTACTTCTCTTGGTACGCTGGGCAAAACTGTTCTGTGGGTTGACGTTTTTCTACACAAAAATTAAATAAGCCAAGGAGCCTCTATTATATTTTTCTCTTCTGATCTTTACTAAGTTCCACGCATGCATGGTAAAAAATATTTTCATGTTTTCATGTTTTTTCAAAATATTTGAGGTTAAGTTCGTAGATGGCGTACCCTTTTACCAACTAGAATTTAACATAGATTTCAGGAAACATCGATCGCCGATGGGGAATTAACTTTTGTCGTGTTCTAATTCTTAGTTCTATGCACAAAGCCCAAAAAATCTGTTCGATCGTGTTCCTTTGACAATGTGCTTGCTGTAACGGAATGAATGAAAAAACAGTGTATTGTACACCAATATTTCCATTAATATTGTCATGAATTGTCGAATTAAAAGTGATCTTACCACAGTAATGTTGACCCTTCGAGTATAAATGCTGAATTCGCGGGTGATTAATGAGTGGTGTTACACTATTTGTTGGCCGAAACCCCCAAATTCGCCGTTTACGATCGAAAGAACGACTATACACATTATGAGTAAGAGAAGATAATGTTAGCATAATGTGATCATGATTATTCATCGCACTATTTCAAGATATTGCTAGCCTACAGGTATTCCATAATTATATTACGGTAACCTAGATATAAATGTACAAAGAGGAAACGATAGTACTCAGTTTGTGATGTCTAGGTCCCCTGTGTCGATTAAGTTATATTAAGTAGGAAACATTGCGAGTTCTATGAAGCAGTAGCGAAAACAAAACTTTCAACTTATAGACCTATTATGCGCAAGATTGAAAGCTTTCGGAGACCCTCAGTTAGTAGCGAAAAAAAAAAAAGTCTTTTATGCCAAAGCCTCAATCTTTTTTGGCTCGGTTTTTCATCTATTAGCTGGGAAATGGCTTAATTTAAAGGACACATTTTCTTGATAACCGTGTGGATTCAAGTTGGTCGACCATGTAGTCACCAGTGCAACTCCATGCGAAATTGGCAGTCGGCGAGTTTTCCACAAAATGTTGATTGAATGCGTGTTACTTTGGCAAGATTGCATGGTCAGAATTTTCAAAATAATTAGTACCTCTACAGTAAAAAAAAAAAAAAGCAACAACAACATGTGTTCTTGCTGAAATACATCAGTTGTCACACTAATAAATGATCTTTTACCATTATTCGTATAGCCTTAGCTTGAGTATAACCGACTAAATATTTGAAAACTATAAAAAAATGGACTTGTCAACCGACTCAAAGTAGACGTTAAGCCTATTACATACTCACACTTATTTAAGATGGTTCAAATTCTTCAACGTATACGTACTGTTTTGCCTTGAATTCCTGGAGAGCCTTATTGCTTAGTTAGGTGATAACAACTAACTGTTAGAGGATAGTAATTAGCACAGCTTAATATACTCTTAATCAAACAACGCTATCTATATTATACCTTAAAAATATTTTGTTGTCAAGGTAGCCGAGAGCTGAATTGATCATCGGCTCATCATTGAACCTTGAACATTAATATCCACTCATGGAAATAGAGTACCGTACTTCCTTGCGATTAATTATCCGCACATGCGAATGACAAATCACTCAAAGGCCGGTTTTAAAATAATGTAAAGAAATACAAGGTCGACATAATGTTACATGCAGGTTAACAAGAATCCATGTAGAAGTTTGCCAGCGATTGAAAGACAGTTATACATTGAAACCTTTATAATAAGAAGGAGAGAGGAATACAAGCAAACAATATTTCTACTGAAATAATTAGCTGCCTTAGTCCGGTTGGCTTATTTAGATTTTGCACCGGTCTGCCCTATCGTAAGGTTGGCACCAGCCAGGTCAATACCTAGCGTAATACTGAAACAACTGATGAGATTGTACTGCCTTGTTTTGACATCTACAAATGGTTAGACATTCTATTCTTTTCGGATAAGAATAAAAAGCGTAGGCAAAAATAGAAATGCCATGTGCTGTATATTGCTACTTCAATTTTTAAGCTACCATATACGTAAATCACCTACTTTACGATCAATAACTTAACATAATATAATCATATATTATTACATTATTTTCTTGTTGACGGTGCATTTGAGGGTGTACTTTAGCTACTACGACTTCCTAGAAACCAGTTTCGGTTTTTCTTGGCGAAGACGACACAGTCTTTCGTCTTATGTTGAATTGAACTTTTCAGGTCAATACCCAGGGTATTAAAACAACTGATGAGATTCTACTGCCTTGTTTTGACATCTACAAATGGTTATATAGACATTCCATTCTTTTCGGATAAGAATGAAAACCGTACGCCGAAAAACGGAAATGCGATGTGCTGTCTGTGTATTGCTGTAGCAGGTCCACATCAATTTTTAAGCTGCCATATACGTAAATGTCGCAAATAACCTGCGTTATGATCAATAACATAATCACATCATCATATACATTGTTTTCTTGTTGACGGTGCATTTGAGGGTGTAGTTTAGCTGCTACGCGACTTCTTCGAAACCAGTTACGATTTTTCTCGACGACGACGACACAGTCTGCAATCTTATGTAGAATTGAACTTTTCAGTATAATTACTTCTGAGTTTTGAGCATTTAATTTGACGACATTTATAGAAAATAGTTCACTACTTGTTAAAAACACCTCATGAGGGTAGATTAATTAATAGGATAGCGTCAGCTGCTAATAATGATATATTACAATGTATTTCATTAAACAGATATGCTTCTATTTTTTTTTTCCACTCTTGTTGCTATCGTCAAGCCTCTTCAGCTTTTTTAGAGTTGACCTGCATAAGAAAAGCATATTAAGAATACATGGAAACAAGAATGTGAACATTAATACTTTTTTATATATAAAATGTAGCATCATTTCTTGGCATTAACAAAGATGAAGGTCAGCGGTTTAGAATATATACGTTTCCTGTAAATAGCCATAAATATCTGATTTTGCCAATTTTATATCTTTTGATTTTCAAGTAAGTTCTGAACAATATAGCATATCTTTTAATACGTATGCGCATTGTACTTGGTCAATTTTTCGAATCTTAAATCTCTATCAGTTTTCAACATCAATATTCTGGTTTGGAAGGCGAGGCAATACTTCCTCATATTTTTGCAGACGAATGACAAGTCATTCAAAGGCCACTTTTATAGTGATATTATGGTTAAGAAAATACATTGACATTTGCAAGTGATTGAAAGATAGTGATATATTGAAACCTTACGATCAAAAGGAGAGAGACTGAAAAAAGAGCAGACAATATTTCCGATAACGATCGATTTTGACATACATTTTAAAAGAAAAATCAACGATAAAAAAGAAACACGACGTTTCGATGACTCCGTGTCATCATTATCAAATGCGAAGAAAATTACAACAACAACAACAACAACAACAAAGTTAAATAAAACGTTTCGCCCGGATGGAGTCCGCTTGAGTGTTTAATGTAGGTCTTTTGTTTCTGATGATAAATATTTCGAAGATCAATCACTCAATCTTCCCTCGGCATCTCTTGAGGACCTTAAAGTTTGTGTTAAGATTCAGTCGTTTTAAGTTGTGTTTTTCCAAGATTTCTTCTCGCAGGAATGTAAAACCTTGAAAGGGATATTCTTGAAATTAAAATAACCCAAGAAGCTCATCGAATCTGCCATTAACAGTGCTGAACACCCCCGCGACCTTAACCACACGCCCACTTACAGCCCCTATTCGAATTACCTTGCCCTACAAGGATCAGAACTCTGCCGACCAACTTCGGAGACAGTTGTGCGATCTCGGAAGGAAGATCAATCACCCTTTGCAGCCACTCTTTACAAACAAAAACATCATCGATGATCTACGAGAAACGGAATTAAAGCCTACGCTAGTGAACCAGCAGAATGTGGTTTATGAATTCAAAAGTGATTTGTGCGATGCAAATTATATCGGTTACACACGCCGTCACCTCCATTAGCGTGTAGAGGAACACAAACATTCCGTTATCGGCAAACATTTCTTGGAAAAACACAACCTGAAACGGATGAATCTTAACAGAAAATTCAAGGTCGGTCCTCAAGAAATGCCGAGGGAAGCTTATGAGTGATTGATCTTCGAAATACTTATATTCATCAGAAACAAAAGACCTACATTAAACACTAAAGGGGACTCCATCCGGGCGAAACGTTTTATTTAATTGTTAGTTTGCTCCATTTTCACGCCTCAATTTAACTTTACATATTCCTGACACTTTCTTTTTTTGTATATATATCACCAATTCATGCTAATTTTCGTGGAGTCATCGAAACGTCGTGGTACTTTTTTATCGTTGATTTTTCTTTTAATTAAAAAGACAATATTTTCAGTGAAAAAATTATCTGATTTAGCCCGGTTAGTTTAATTGGATAATGCGCCCGGTATGCTGAGCGTAGTTTTGCACTGGCCAGGTCATCACTCATGGTCCTAAAATAACTGATGAGATTGTGCTGCCATTTATTATTATTATTATTATTATTATTATTATTATTATATTATTATTATTAAGATCATGATGATGATTATTAGTAAAAGAATTGTCATTATTATTTGAAATCTTCAAATGGTTAGACATTCCAGTCTTTTTGGATATGCGATCAGTGTTCTGTGGCCATGTGTATTTTGCTGTGGCAGGTCCACATCAACTTCCGAGTTGCCATATTACGTCCATAACCGGCTTTATGATCGTTAACATGATGACATGATCGAATATCAGTGCGAAAATATTTGATATTACTATTTAAT